AAAAAAAAAAAACATCAAAAGAGAAACGTGTCGCCAACACTTCAACTCGCGGGGAGCCACGCGGAGACACCACCGACGGTGGGGCACAACAGATGCCCCGGCCCCGCCGCGCTGTGAAGCCGCGACACATCATGGGAGGCGTACCAGCACGTTAATGGTAGCCCAAGTTAAAAAAAGAAACGGAAAATAAAGGTATCGGGGTCAAAGAAGCGAAGCAAAAGAAGCCAAAATGAACGAAAAGAGTGGAAATATATATATATATTTTTTTTGGGTATATAATGGTGTGCCCTTTTGTGCACCACCTGCCGCCTATGCGACTCGCCAGCCATTTATCGCCGGAATATTTGTGCACGACGTCACACCTGCCTCGGGGAATCGCTGGAGGTCGCACCACTGGGCTCGCTGCTGAGCCCCCCGTCGCTCAGCGGTCCACCTGACTTGATGGCGTTACCATCGGCGTCAAGATCATCACACAGCCGCGCGCGTGGGATCAGCGCGAATACCACCGGTATGTTCACGAGCGGGCAGAGCAGGTGCCCCACCACCAGCAACCACTTCACGTTGCTGAAGTCGCAGCCGATCGCCGGGTCCGACTGCACGGGCCACTTGAGCTCCATCAGCAACGAGCCGATCGTGTTGGACATGCTGGAGCCGAGGTTGGAGTAGCCGGCGAGCAGCGCGAACATCATGCTCTCCGAGCCGCGCGGGCACAGGCGTGAGATGAGCACCGTGGCCGGCATCGAGTTGAGCATCGAGCACACCTCGAAGACGATGGCGTCACCGAGGATGTACACCACGTGGTCGCTCACGTGTGGGCGGTTCCATCGCTGTACGAGAACGAGGTCGATGATGCTCGACAGCACCAGCACCAAGGTGGTGATAATGAATGTGAGGCGGTACGAGCGCCGTGCGAAGACGTACGTGAAGAGCGTCACTGCCGCGATGCCGGCGGCGTTGCCGATGATGTTCGTGATGGTGTTGTAGAAGAAGAAGGAGAAGTGTGGCCCGTCGGGGAGGCAGTCGGGGTCGGCAAGGTAGAAGCTGTCGAGTGCGCCAGGGAGCTGCACGTATGAGACCATGTGAACGTAGATGTAGAGCGCCGCCTTCGCGATGGCGAGCGGCAGGGCGAAGAAGCCGAACGCGCACACCGTCACGCAGATGGTGACGCTCGCACACAGCAGCTGCCACTTGGTGCCGAGGATCGTGACAACCGTCAGGGCGACAACACCGACGGTCATGAGGCCGCTGAACATCACGAGGCGCCAGTTCCGGCGGCACATCTCGCCGTTCAGCTCCAGGGCACCAAAGCAGCAGGTTGGCAGCGGCGGCACGGTGGCCTCCACCATCTCCAGCGGCTCCGCCTCCACGACGTCCTTCATGTTCTCCTTCAGCGCCAGGCGTGCGTCCTCCTCGCGGTCGATACTGTTGGGGTTCTCGCCGTACCAGTTGAAGACGAAAAACAGGGACGGGGCGAACTGTGNCACGGCGGCGACAATGACTCCAACGTGCGCGAGCCGCATATCAGATAGCGGGCCCTGAATCGCGGCGGCAATGATGGAGCCGAGCATGATCAGCCACCAGATCCAGCCAACAAAGGCGGGGCCAGCGGCAGGAACACGACGCATCAGACGGCTGTAGTGCCCCTGCGTCAAGACATCCACGTTCGCGACAGCGTAGTTGGCGAGGAACAACAAGGCAGCTCCTGCCGCCGCGCTCGATGGTGTTTGCGGCAGCAGCCCAAAGCCGAGGATGAAGGCGGCACCAAGCACGCATGATAACGCCGCGTACCAGCGTTTTGTGTAGCCAAACAGGCTGAGGCTGTCGCTGATCACGGCGGTGAGAGACTTTATTGACCAGCCCATCATAGCCACGCCGGAGAGGCGCTGATACACCGTCGCGTCAACACCAAACCGCTGCCGGAACATGGGGTAGCGCGAGTAGCGGAGTATTACGTTCGCAATGCCCTTGCAGAAGAATTCCACAAGGCCAACCGAGACAACGCATTTCGGCCCGTACGCCTCACACGCGGTGCCGAACACGGGGGCGGAGCGCAGCAGCGGGAGCTTGTCGAAGAGCGCACGCGCCCCTGGGTGGACGTAGCGCGGCGCAACAACCTCCGACGCCGCAAGCGCAGCGGGGACCCGATTGCCCGCACCGTCGCTGTAGGTGTCGTCGTCTTCGTGTGGCGGTTGCATTGGCGCCTCTTCGCAGCAACGTTGTGGTATCAATGGTGGTGTCTTCTCGGGGGAGTTGCGACGCAAAGCCCCTTCTTCTCTTTGTTTTTGGCGGTAAATGAAATCAAACAGAGAGAGAAACAGAGAGACAGAGAGAGTCAGCGGAGTGTAGCCACGGAGTGCAAGCGCTCTCGTCTCGCTGGATGGGGAGGGAGCGGGCGCTTGTGTTTGTGCAGCGGAGGGCAGGCAATGCCTGCCTCGAAGCTGCTGCTTCAGGGATGCCCTGTGAGTGCGCGGGGCTTCCGACGCTAGTCCTCGTATCGCCTCACCATTCTCATTCACTCTTTGTGTGTGTGTGTGTCTACCTACGGGGATGGTGCAAGCAGCGGGGAGGGGGGGGAAGGCGTGCAGAACCCCAAGGAGCTGTAGGGCGGGGGAGAGACATAAAGGCTCACAGACGCGGGCGCTCACTCCGCAGCGAGCACCAGCAATGTTTTTTTTTTTATGTGTGTGTGTGTTTTGCTTAATTTGTCTTTTTTTTGTTTTGTGTGTACGGATGTGTTTCTTTTTTCGTTGTTTTCGCCGGGCCGCCTTTCTTTGTTTGCACTCTGGCTCTTTAAGGAGGCACAAGGACACACTTAGGGCGGGGCCACACACACACACACACACACACAGAGAGAGAAAGAAAGGGGGCTGCGCCCACTCCGCACCGCCACGCCGCTCCGTCGCCGCCAGCCCTCCGCACTCCGAGCGTTAAGCTGCGAGCAAAGGGGGCCCCCACCACCACCCAACGGGCACCACTCAGGCAGCCACGATGGGGCAGCGGCGGGGGTGCCACCACCGTCAGAGCCATCGCAACCGCTTATGCTGCTGTGTGGTGCTGTTGTCGCTGGTGGGAAGCGAGGAGACATTGACGCGCGTCCACCTCACGTCCTGGCGCCCGCGCCTCCACCCCTTTTCCCTCGCACACCCCAGGGGGCACGCAGCCAGCAAGCACCAGCGGAAGCAGCAGCAGCGGCTTACACCGGGACAGCCTGTTCGAGGTAGTTGAGCTGTACAGCCTCTAAGTGGTCCTCAAAGTCAACGAGCTGGAACTGCTTCAGGGCATCCATGGCGTTCCGGAACACTTCGAGCGCCGCCGCATTGCTCTCCGTCGGCTCACATGAAAGCGTATCGGAGTTCCACCGCCCGAACGTCAGCGCTGGGGCAGGCGCGTAGACGTCGTTGCCTTGGTAGTACGCGACAGACACGTCGGCCCTCTCCGTCGAGTTTGCAGCGACAATTGTCCACAGCAGCGGATGGTGCCCGGTGGAGACCTTGTCCTGCAGCATGCGGAGGATGTTCGTCGTGAGCGGCGATACGCTGCTGTTGTTGGCGTGCTCGTTGGCGACGTAGTAACCGAGCATCACCATTCCCTTTGTCCGCGCGTAGCTGGACACCTGTGCGTAGGCGACGTCGAGCATGGGGTGCGGGTGTGTCATCATGATGGTGTGGAAGAGCGGTACCGCATCGGCGATGAAGACGCTGTCGGCGGCGCCGCTCTCCGTGATACGCTTGCCGATGAGGAAGCCTGCGACGGCCTGCGTGGCGTACTTCTGCGCGTGCAGCAGCGCCTTGGCGTACGCCTCGACGGAGGTCACCACCGACGGGGGCGGTGAGGACGACATGCGGGTGGTTTGGTTTGTTGTTGCTGTTTCTGCTGCTGCTGTGGGGTCAAGCACGCTGCTTCGCCGCTCCTTCTGCTATGCACTCCCTTGCTGTGGTCTGATTGGTGTTTCGCTCTCTCGCTCTCTCGACGTATATCGATCTCGCACACTCCTCGGATACACAACATACACACACACACACACAGAGAGAGAAAGAGAGACGCAAAGGAAACAGGGGGAGAAGGAAAGAAAGAAAGAGATGCTGCTACATTCATCCACGCACCACTGAGGAACACCTGCACACGCACAGACACGCAGGAGCGCACACACAATGAAGCCCTACAGGAGGAGGAAGATGGGACACGCGCTCCATCCTTTTTCACCACCACACACACATCCCCCCCGCACGGCCACTTCCGGCCTGGGTAGCTGCCGCCGTTCTGTACATCAATCATCTGCCGCTGTGGCGCAAGGGATAAGTATACGTTTGTCTCTCTCTGCATGTGTGTATGTGTGCGTGTGTGGCACTGAGCGCATCAAGGTCGAAACGAATGAGCGCACAGAGACACACAAGCACAACATATAGACACAGAAGCACCCCTCCCCCTCCCACACACACGCAGAGAGACAAAGATATATATATATANTATATATATATATATATACCCCACCCCACAGGTCCACGTAGACACCACTACATAGCGCCACCGCCGTTCATACCAGGAGCGGCCCCCATCGATGCCTTCAGCAGCCTCGGGTCGCCCGTCTCGAAGAGCTCAAATGCGCCGGCCGTGTTGTAGTCCTGCCCGGTGAGCGTCACAAAGTCAAGCTGCCGCAGTCGCACAGCGCGGTTCGGGTGCCGCATCAGCCGCGCCAACGCCGATTGCCAGTAGTGTGGGTCGTTCTCCGCTATGGGGTTGCCGTGCAGCGTCACGGCGCAGAGCAGCGGAAGCGGGCACACTCTATTCTCTACCTGTGCCCAGTCTGAGATGCAGTTCTGGTGCAGCTGCAGGCGCTGCAGCGGCAGCAGCGAGAAGTCCGGCAGGACGCTGATGCGGTTATTGCTCAAGTCCAGTGAGCGGAGGGTCATGATGGCATTGACCACAAGCCGGCGCAGCACCGGCACGAGCAGCTCCGTCGACCCCATGCTGCATCCAGAGATGCGCACGCTTGTCGCAGCGTACGTCGCCTCCATCTTGTCAGCGAGACTCTCCAGGGAATTATCCGCGTGTCCATTCACGTCGTGCAGAAATCCGTAGCGCGATTTGGCGCTCTCGACGAACTCGTACACCTCCTCGTCGCCCTGCTTGTTGCGCGCCTTCACGATCACGCGCTGTTCCTTCTGCGGCCGCGTTGGGTCGCTCTGCTGGTTAACAAACACACCCTGCGCGACACGTGGGTCGAGAGCAGGCTGCAACTCACGCTTCTTATGCCTCTTGCCGGCGACGGGCCGCACGCGCAGCAGCTGCAGCGGCTCGGTGATGTCGCAGAAGGTGAAGTCGAGCAGCGGCAGCGATGCGTGGTCGCCTACATCCACGCGTGTCTTCTTAGTGGAGTAGAAGCTGTTGCGCTCCTCCTGCATGGCCTCAATCCGCTTCTGTGTCTGCGGCTGCTGTTGGTAGTTGGTGAGGCCGGCGAGCGCGAGCATCTCCTGCGTCGTGAGCATGAACCGATGTACTGTGACGATGACACCGTCCTCGAAGTAGCACTCGTCGCGGAACAGCAGCAACTCCCGTCCAAACGTCACGATGAGTCGGCTGAGGCGCTGGTTTCGGTCGGTGTGCTGCCGGCCAAGCTGCGCGTACCGCTCCGCCTCGCTCTTTGGCGGTGGTGGTGGTGGCAGTACCTCGGACTCTTGCAGTATCACCTTGCGTGCCTCCATCTCCACCGTCGTATCTGTGATGTAGGAACCCTGGTTCAGCCAATGCAGAATGGTGTACAGCCGCTCCGTTGCGAGGAGTGGGCCCTCCACAACGTCTACATCGTATGGCCCACCCTCCTGGAGGTGCATGGACCTCGTGCGTCCTTCTCTAGCCAGTGACCCGGTGCTCGCAGCAGTGGCTCTGCTGCCCTTCTTTGCGGTTGCCATTGTTGCTGCTGTTGCGGCTGATATTGGGGTTACACTTGTTGGTATGGTTGTTTTCTTTGGTCCTGGTCCTTTTTTGTTGGAAGCCTTTGCTGTTGCTGCCGCCGCAATCCTCCGCTTGGCCTGCGCGAGCACGGGGATCGTGTCGGAGACGGTGGGTGGCGAAGGCGGGTATTTGAAGTGCGACACGAGAAGTACTTTGGGATGCAGAATGTCGTAGTAGTCCGCCACATCCTGCCACGTGATGGCCCTTAGGAGGCATTTCTTGCCCACCTCGAGCTGCTCAAACTCCATCCTGTTGCGGCAAGGAACTCCGGTACGATGCCGTGGGCCCACACACTTTCCTTCTTCCCTCCTCTCTTTGCAGCAGACGTATAGATAGATGGATAAATAGAGGGAGAGTAGGGAGGGGGGTGGAAGAGAGAAGGCTCAATCGGCCCATGATGAGGGGCACAAACACGGATGGCGCGCCCCCATTCACCATGGTACCACTGCAGCAGCACTGCTGCTGCTGGTGGCGGTGGTGGTGGTGCTGGTGCTGGTGAATGGTGTTAGTGTTTTGCTGCTGGTACAGATTCATATTGCATCAAGATCCCCAATGATTCCCTCGGGGAAGGGTCGTCACTAACGTACATAAGAAGCCCAGTGGGGGGTGCAGCAAAGCACAACTTGTTAAACAAAAAAAAAAAACGGGCAGAGATGCCCTCTCCCTCTCACCATTCCAGTTTCACTCTCTCTCTCTCTCTCTCTCTCTCCTTCCCCTATAATAGTTGTGTACATACGCAGGAATAAAATCTCCAATCATCGGCTTAATGTTCATCTTTCCAGTTCGCCTTTGTTTTGTTTTTTGTCTTAGATTTCTTTCGTTACATTTCGGGCAGCATTCTTTTCTTTTCCGTTGCCATCGTTTCTTTCCTTCCTTCCTGGCTGCTTGAGGTCTTTACAGTTTTCATCTCTCACTCTCTCTCTCTCTCTCTCTCTCTCACCCCGTCGCCCCGTATCTGACTCCATGTGTGGATATGCCCCCCCCCGCCCCTCGGTGTCCTCTCGTCCTCGCAGGGCAAAGCGCGCGCACACACACACACAGAGAGAGAGAGAGACAGACAGACAGACAGACGTACAGAGACAAAGGCAGAGGCACAACGAGACGTTTTCCTCTCGTGAGGATGTGGTGGTTTCAGCGGTGGGGAAAAAGGACTGCGGCCAGAAACGCACACGCCGCCACACACGCCCACGCACGCACACCGTTTACGCAGACGCAAAAATACACGCAGACACATACCATCACTCAAAGACGCACCCACTGGAGCAATGAAGCAAAGCAAAGAAAGTAAACCAAACGAAGCATCGAGTGGAGCACAAGAGAAAAACAAGGGGGAAGATGAATCGATACAAACCGTCATCCTCATTATCATACGATGTTCCCCTTGCTGTTCTTCTCTGACGCACTGAGCAGCATCTTGATGTAGTCGGCGTTGTCGTATTTGGCCGAGAGCTTATCAACCTCGACGCGACTCTGGCGTATCTTCGCTGCGGCCCCCTCCACTGCGTTCTGCTCCTCGTCCGTGAAGCGGCGGCACTTCTCAAGGAACGCCTCCTCGTGGTTGATGCCGATGGTGCGCGCCTGCACGTGCGGATGGGCGACCGTCGCCATCAGCGTGCCGTCCACTGTCGTCATGGTTGACATTGCGGTTGCCTCCCGCAGCCTCAGCTGGCCCGTCTGCGGCGGGGCCGTGGCGAAGCTCGCCGTGTCCGCGACGTCCGCCACGGCAACGATAGGCTCGCCGTCGGCGCCGCGTGCAGGTGTCGCGTCG